CAGTTGTTTTTGTATCTGCCCTCTCTTACTTTTGACTGTCCGGTGAATGCTGATACAGTGTGGTGGTTCTTGCGGAGATGCGTAAGTTGTGGAAGAGTTCGAGTATCGCAGGCAGTAAGGTGGCTGTCTTTAATTTGAAGCTCTTTAGTAATCCCTGAAGCTTTTTAATACAGTGATTGATGAAGTTTGGCTTGAACAAAAAATAGTTAATGTTTTTGTAATCTATAAATGTGGTTTTTAGTTAAATTGCTTAAAGTTTTTAAAAAACACTTTATGGGCCTTCATATGTCCTTGTTTAGTGGGGGAGTGGGACAGAATAGCTGGATTGCTTTCCTTCTGATAAAGTAACTCTGAGTTCAGATTTAGCTATTATATAAAAGAAATTTAAAGGTTGCTATCAAATCTGCGCTATAAGAGCACATGGGCATAAAAATATTTGTATCAATCAGGTGTTATCTTTTCATTAAGTCTTCCAGCAAGAATTGTTGCATTCCTTAGGCTACATTGAGAAAGTTTGCTGAAGTGGCTCTTCTGTTTTATGTTTTTGTGATCTATAGTTTACGGCACGACTTCCAAAAAGAAAATGTAATTATCTTTTTCAAAACTGCTGGAGTTAAAGAAAGTGGTCTTAATTCTTACATCTGTCTTAGAGCAGCTTCAGTCCTGTGACAAAATGGAAGAAATATGGGAATATTAAACCATTACAGTTGTCTTTTAACTTATGTATTTACAAGCTCTTGAGGAAAATATTCCTGAATCAAGAAAATTATTATGTTACTTGAAAGTTGAAAAGTGTCAGTTTTTGTCAGTGCCTGGCTGAGAATTTTCCAAAAACCCAGTACATGTATATTTTTTTTTTATCTGGATTTATGCATGCTGCTCTCTGAAGAGCTGTATGGTTTCATAGATGATGTGCCAGTATTTCAGATGAACTGTGGAAAAGAAATACTCAGTACTTTTCTAGGCAGCAAGATTTCCACAGCTCTTACAGGCTGCTTGAACACCCCTATGGTACTCTTCTGGTTTAAAGCTGTTTGATTTTTTTTTTCCTTTTCTTTTTTTTTTCTCCTGTGTGATGTTAACATGTTTCTAAATTCCATTCTAGAAATAACACCACAGTTTCACTTGCAGTTGCAATGATTCCTCTGGGTAATTGGCAAAATGCTTTGAGTTGTAAAGTGTTATATAAGTAGTGTGATAAGAAAATGAGCATCACTTGCCCTGCACGTTTTATTCCAGTTTTTTACTGGCAACATCCATATTACAGTTGCCCAGCTGTCAGTCTCAGGTGCATGTGTTCCTTTATACTTCCAGATATATGGTGTTAATAGCCTTTCCCTCCTTTGTTGCCAGCTGTAATAGATCCATACAGTTGTTTCTGTTAGATATTCCTATTGCAGACTTAGAAGAATTCATGTTAGAGAAATGACACTTGCTTTTTTGTTCTGTATCTCAATTGTTAGAATTCAAATGTCATGCTAGTTTTATTATTACTACTTGTAAAATAATAATTAAAAAATTGCCCTAGGTAGCCTTATTAAAGAGTCTTTTAAAATTTATATTTGTGCAATATGCTCTTGGCAAAGTCCAGTTTTGGCCTATCAAATGCACTGAGATTTTTTCTACTGTTCATTCTTAGTTTAGTATTTTTAGAGATGTGTTGTTTGCTTAAGCATGTGTTCTTTGGTATTGGCAACTGTGGTTTATGTGTTCGTGCGTTCAAGGAGATTTCGAAACCAAAGATTGCAGTTGTGCTATGTGCCCTCGATTAAAAAAAAAACCAAAAAAATTGTCTTCAGGGGAGCCAGTATGTGTCATCTTCAGCATGTGTCTATGCATGCGACTTGCAGCTCACTCAGGTCCTCTAACCTCAAGCATAGCTTGAGTTAGACTCTGAGTAGCCCTGCATATGTGAAATATCTCCTCCTGGTTGCCTTTTAAAATGGTCAGGCTCACACCTTACAGAAGCAAATAGCACATGCTGGAAGACCTTACAAGCACTTTTGCAGAATTGCTGGAACTGCAGTTTTCAATCACGTGGAACCACGCTTGTGGAATGGAACAATAACATAGGAACCTCTCAAATGCACCAGAGGTTTATCAGCTTCGCTCTGTTACTGTTGCTTGACAGAAGACTGCTTTTAGTCTTGTGTACCAAAGCAGAAGGCAGTTGCTCCCTTTTGAAGGTAAGACATCTGGATGGCTTTTTGTGGTAGTAGACATTTATGGTGGCATAAGCCAAAGCTTTTTTTATGGATATGTGGCTTAAGGAGAGGTGATCAGTTACAGCATTTGATATCATTGCTAACAGTAGGGTTTCTGTTGTATTATGCCCAAGCAGCACTACAAGAACATGTTTGGTATCAGTCTTAGACACTAAGTATATGCAAGGGATCCCCCAGGTGTTCAGCATCATCTTAGGGTCCACTGGAACATCTGCTGGTAGAACTTAGCTTAGGGAAGGTGACAAGATTGAGATCTCTCTGGAGAGTGCTGGGAAAATATGAACAAAATTAGCTTGGCTAATTTGACATGAGAGCAGCAAGCTTTTTTAACTTGGATCTTCCCTCCTAGTTTCATCTATTATTTAATAAGCACTCTTAATATTGAAAATCTTCAGTGAAAAATTTTACTTGCTTAGTGGTCACGTGAAGGAAAAGGACTTGGTGCAGAAAGAATATTTTCGATAGGCTATGTGGTCTTTGACCTCAGCAGATCAATGAAATTTCTTTAACTGTTGCCTAATAGTAATGTTGTAGATACTGCTCTGTATAGAGTTTGTGGGGGGTTTGTTGGTGTGTTTGGGTTTTTTATTTGATTGTTTGGGGTTTTTTTAATAAACTGAGAATAGGACTTATAACAGTTCTGTACTGGTTATAGACACTTCAGTTACATGAAAAATACTGAGCAAGATCTAACAGCAGTGTTTTTATAATGCTTGCTTAGAAACTGATTGGATTTAGGAAGACTTGTTTGCCTTCATGTGTTTTGGGAGAATTATTTAGAGATGTCATAACAAAGTTCTCATTCGGTAGATGAGGCTGTTGAATTCAAAGTCAGGTTTTCTCTATGTATAAATTTTGGAATTGGGAGTTGCTTTATATAGGCAATAATTGTCTATGGACTGTTTGGACTTCTAGAAATTTTTATGTACTTCTTAATTTGACACAGCATCTGACAAGGATACAGCCATGAGTGGTGAGCAGCATCTATCAAATGACTCGTTTTTTGAGAATCTTCACGTTAGTAAATATGGAAATATTTTAATACTATTCAACAAGAAGGTTTTGACGTATAACTTGCTTAAAACTTATTTTCAGGGTTCTTTGTGCAGTTATTTCAGTGTTTTTGTGTGTTACATAATAAAATGACAATTTTCATCCCAACTTGCATGTTTGGAAACCTTTGACATCAGAATGAAATTAGTAACTCACTAGAATTTGCATTTTACAGCTTTCTACCTCAACAATGTACTATCTAAAGCTCTTTACTCTGTTAAAATTACTCTAGTTATTAAATTATTCTAAACAGTGATCCTAAATCAAAGGACTTTATGTTCTTAATAAACAGATCTTTAATTAAGATACATCTGCAATATATTCTGTGACTAGGACAGATATAAATTTTAAGTGCAATATTTCTATGAAGTATTTCGTCCTAAACTATCAATGTGTGATCTCTAAGTTCATGTTTAAATTGCTTATGATAACGTAGTCTGTCCTCTACATACTGCTAGTAAGACAAATAAGTTGGCCATTTCAGTGGTGCCGATACCTCAGTATTCAGTTGTTGCCCAACATCCCAAACACCTACCCTTCTTCAAGTACTTACACAGACAAACCACGTAAACAGCAATGCTGCTCTGCAACCAACAGGCTGCTCACAGACTTGGCTTAAATAAGAGGCCACAAAGGAAGCTTTTCAAACTAAATGTTTGTTTTACTGGCCTTGCCCAGTCCTTAAGGTGTACTTTGATCACACCTGGGCCAAATTTAGCTCAGAGAGTAAATGTCTAATGTGCCTGTCTTGAGGGGTTTATAATAGTTCTGGATTCAATTCTTTGCCCTATTCTCAGCTAATGCCTTCACTAGCATTCTCAGGCAGGCTTTTTTCCCATGTACCTGCTGGAGCCTGTTCTGGTTTTGTATCAATACTCGGGCCGAGCCTTGAAGTTCTCTGTCTCTGACCTCCTAAGTTAATGTTCCACTGTTGAGTTTGTAGTCAGTCTTGGACACAAAGAACTCTTTTTATACAAAAGCCTGAGACTTGCCATGATCCACCACAAAATACTCAGTAGGTGGGTGGTTAGGTTATTTTAGCTAAGTAGAAAGGTGTGGGGATGCAAATTCTTGCTCTTAATTCTTAGAGAAGAGAGGCTTATTACAGGTTTGTAGCATCTCATTTGCTGTCATGTGTGTTGATACTCAGGCTTAGGGTGGAGTTGCAGGGTACTTGCTGCCTGTTGATCTCATGAAGTATAGAAGTCTCAGCTCTTCCTTGCTTTTCTGACTTTCGTTGTTTTGGTTAGATTGAGTGGCTTCAGGCATTGAGCATCCAGAAGATCTACACTGACTTTTGGATGATAATTTGGGTGAAGAGTTTCTACTGGAGCAGGTTATTTATTGATGAGATACAGGGACTCTTTAAACAAAGAACTGAAGTTAATGCTTCCAGTATGAATTGTCAGTGTACAAACACAAAATAATATGATGATCCTCTTTGAGCATATAACTTATTGTAATGCTTTGATTTTTTTTTTCTTTAATTTAGATCTAATACAGTGCACAAATGAAATGAATGTGAATATTCCACAGTTGGCAGACACACTCTTTGAGAGAACTGCAAATAGTAGCTGGGTTGTAGTGTTCAAAGCTCTAATTACAACACACCACCTCATGATGTATGGAAACGAGGTAAGACATGATTAGTTCTGTTAAAGCCTCCTTGACAGTGTTCTAAAAAATTGTCTCAATCTATAAAGCATTAGATATGTACTTCAATTTTTCAAAGGTCTCTGTTTTTGCTCTGCTGATGGCTATAAAGTACTTCTCCAGAGAAGAAAATATTCCTTCATTATTTCAATACTGAAATATATCAGTGTTTGTGATTGACCTGCAGGTATCTGGGTTGGGCTGTGAGGGAATAATGAGTGATTTTATTCTAGAGTAAGACTTGAAAAACTTCTGATGAGCTTTACTTCATTAGGCTAGTGCTTATCAGTAAGAACACGGCAAAAGCGTCTTGTTAGCACTCCATAAATGTGCAGCCAACCTATTAACAAATAAGAATACTTACTAAAGGGAGGAGGAATATAATGACTAGAATATTCAATCTTGCAAATCATTATCTAATGGACTAAATCTTCGTATGTTGTTGCCATTAACATTTCTCTGAAACAGGTTTCTATCGCATTTAGTTCATTTAAATTGTTTCAACACTATTTATGAAGAGCTTCCCAGACAATAACATGACATTAGAAATGTAGCTTCTCTTACACAGTCCTCCCATTAAAAACTAACCTTTGTCTTGGTCAGGTGACAGTTTAGTCCTGAACTTGTGTGTAGTCATTCTCCTAATAAATGACTGTTGACAACTGGTAATATTGAAATGGTGATTCTTAAATGTACTGCTTCCAGCCATTAAAGTGCTCTGAAAACCTAGTGTTGCCGTCTCTCCAAAGCTCTGTGAACTTAATTGAAATGACCTGCAAAACATAGTGTACTCTGTTACCTCCAAGTTATTTATGTGCTTAAGTTGTTGTTTCAACAGATAGTAGGCTGAAATTAGAGGATAATATGAAGTAAAATTCATTGCTTGGAACTCGCTACTTATTCCAAATACAAAGCTAAACTGAATGCTGTAAATCAATTTGTATATTTTTTTTCCTTTCTTCTTCCAGTGTAGTTCATATCTACACAGTGAAACTTGAAACAAACAAAAAGCAGACAACTGAACCATAGGAAAAAAAATATCAAAACTTAAGAGTTGTGGGCTACAAGTCAGTGTCTGCTTCCTGTACAGCATTTTGTAGCAGCAGAAGAGTTGAATTTTTATGTCTGTACCAAAACTCCTCAGCTTTGAATGGGTGCATTTGAAACTTCCAAAAGAGTTCCTTTATACCTGCTGAGATAATGTGGCTGGAACACTAGTTCTGTAATTTCAGGTGGGACATGAATGTATTCCTCACTCTTCTAATACATTAAGAGGCCTTTTTCTTCAACATCTGATAATTTTTATCTGTTTGACTTATATTTACTTGTACTTAAAATAGAGCAGAAGGTCAAAATGTTGTTTGAGCAATCACTGTCTTGCAGTTTCTTGTTCAATGTGACTACCTGTTTCTTGTGATTAAATTTTGGGTGAAACAGGTTAAAAGTCCCCTCACCTGTGTGCTGTGCAATGCAAGAGCCCTGACAACTGGAGAGTGAGAGTTAGCCATGGCCCTTTTAAAATAAGATGCAGAATAGTAGTTAATTTTGAAATGTGTATAGACACCTTTTGAATATCACTGTTCTGTTCCTGATCACGCTACAACTGTTTTTCTTCTGTGTCTCTTTAAATGCAGTACTAAGATGTACAAAGACCAGATAAACAGACTGGAAAACAGAATAAGAAGTTGAAACAGTGCTAGAACTGTTGGTAGGCAAGCTGCTTGTGGTAGACTTGTGTGAACTCTGTAGCTATAGGCTGAGAACACATACGGAGTTACCGCTGAGGTGGTACGTGACAAGTTGGGGAATCATTTGGGCCCCATAGAAGGTGAAAGTACTACTTTCAGTTTAAATAGTACATGTGAAGTGAGTTTTCTTGTTGCTGTGCTAAGCCTTTGTTACAATTCCCAAAGACCAGGTGCTATACTGAGCCTGACTGGGAAAAAATGCAAGTTTTGCAGAGTGCAATAGTCCAAACCTGACAGGCAGGTGGATTTCCACCAGGAAGGGTGAAGGAGCAAACGTTCTGTGGCAGCAGATCAAAGATGTAACAAGTCTCTTAAGCCATACTGATCATAATCCTCTCTTACGGACTAAAATGCATACAAAGAAGCAAGGAAGTCAAGGAGTCACAATCATAGATCTGTGTGGAACGGTGGCAGAGAAACCTTTAAAACTACCTTGCTATCTGGATGTGTTTTGTCTCTTTTGAGTTATTTCTGGAGGTAGTTATTATTTATCAAAAATGTTGTTTAGTCACATCACTGCATTATAGTTTATATAAATATATATAAATGTCTGTATAATATATATAGATAATTATAACCCCAGTGCTGCTGCTCACCACAGTTCCAGAAGCACTGTTGTTACTAATTACTTCTAAACTTTGTAACTAAGGCTATCCCCCACTTCTACAGCAGCAGTAGAGCTATGCAAATAGTGGGAGCTTGGAGAATGCGAGTGGTATTTTTGTTTTGTGATTTCCAGCTTGTCTGTTCTAAGCTACAAAGTTAACTTAGCAGCTTCCTCTAGGATTATTAGTCTTTTATTCACAGGCAGTGACGTCTTTTTATTTAGTTTAAACTCGTATTTTTGCCAAATAGTTTTGGATTTCAGAGGCTTTGCTAATCAATAATTTCCAAGTTTTCCTTTAAATTTTTCCCTTTTAAGTAATTTCTATTGTTGATAGAGGTTACTAGAAACAGTTTCAAGGTAAGTGTAGTTTTCTTGTAATGTGCTTAAATATTTTGACTCTCAACAATGATATTCTCAACTCTTTCTTCACCAACAGCGCTTTATCCAGTATCTTGCATCCCGAAACACCTTGTTCAATTTAAATAACTACCTGGACAAAAGTGCCATGCAGGGTAAGGATCTTTCACTAAAGAAGATTATTGCTTTTTTGTTCCGTGGCAGTGTTTGCGTACCCCTTCAAAATGTCTAACTTATAAATGCTTAACTTTTAGGCTACGATATGTCTACCTTCATTAGACGATATAGCAGATACTTGAATGAAAAAGCACTTTCATATAGACTTGTAGCAGTTGACTTCACCAAAATGAAGAGAGGGTAAGACTGTTACTGCTTCTTTTGTTTGGTCTTTCATGTTGGGGGGGTGAAATAGCAGTTGTTCTTAAACTTATCATAGATTGGTGTTCCTTTTGGCCCTTTAAAGCAACATAGTTTTGTTGAAACCACATAATATGCTGAGGTCTCTTGTTAACTGGTAAACATGTGTCTTCTACTGTGTAGGATAGATGGAGTGATGAGAACTATGAACGCTGAAAAGCTTCTGAAAACCCTTCCAATCATACAGAATCAGCTTGATGCACTCCTTGATTTTGATGTAAGTACTTTAAGCTCGATGTTAGGTAATGCTCTCTCATTTTGAAGTGAGAGTTTCATTGTTTTATTAAATACTAATTTACTTTCTTGTTGCTTTTTACACAGGCAAATCCAAATGAACTAACAAATGGTGTTATAAATGCTGCTTTTATGCTTCTCTTTAAAGATTCCATTAGACTTTTTGCGGCATACAATGAAGGGATTATTAATCTTTTAGGTATGTGAGAATTTTTTTTTAGCTTTTGAACTTTTGTGAAAGATACTGAGAGAACTAAAGAATATAGACAATTTCTGATTTGTAATTTCCTAATAAATTGTCTCTGCTTCATTACCATTAAATTAAGCCTGTCTTAGTTTCCGTGGCAAGAATAATAAATCTTGAAACAGAAAATCGAGATGAGAGGGTGACTGGTGAGACTAAAACAAAGATATCTTAACGGTGCAGTGGATAACCTTTGCAATTGGACTGTAAAAGTATTTAGTATAGTCACAGTATGACTGACTTCTGGTTTCCCATACTTTCTTTATAGCTTGACTATTCATCTTTACCTGGTACCTGAATCTATGTGAGACTAGTAGATGACACGTAGGGGTGTTTTGTGCAAGAGTTATAAGCTCTTAGCAAAGCCTTATAATGACTATTCAAGCACATTTCTGAATGAAAACATCTGGTTTGTTCTGTTGATCCATTAGTTTTTACTCAATGAAATATCTGTAAGTATATAGGGCAAAACTGTAAAAAGTGAAGTATGTGGTTGATACTCTTCTTAGTAGGTCAGGTCAGTATATGTATCACTTCAGTAGCCATTCTGATGCCTTTAGATATTGGCCCTATTTACAAACATCAAAACTTATTGATACGGGGTCTAAAAATGTAAATATATCCCAGGAATTTTTTCACATGATAAAATAATTTGCCTCATTGCCAGATAATAAACTGACTTCTTGAAAATATTCCCCTAAATACCTAATTTAACAATTAGCGTGATTCATATCCATGCTTAATAAAGATTTGCATTGTATTCTAATGTACTGTAATAGAAAAATCAATGTTTTTCTATTGAGTGACATTAGAAAGGATGTCAGGTATTCATGTAAACTTTAAAATCTGAATAGCTTTGAGTTACTTGTGTCCTCTCCCTGAAGCTTGTCTCAAATTAACTTTTATAATGCTATGTCAGATTTCTGCTGGGGAGTGTGTTATCTTACAAGAGTTTTCTTTGCATCCTCAGAAAGATATTTTGATATGAAGAAGAACCAGTGCAAAGAAGGCTTGGATATTTACAAAAAATTTCTAGCCAGAATGACCAAATTGTCAGAATTCCTCAAGGTAGCAGAGGTAAATAAATGTACATCTATGGAAAGGACATCATTTAGCTGTCTGTGGTGGTATAGTAGTCTACATTCATAACAGCTTCACAAACAGATTAATGCTTGCTTAATTTCGCTATACAAGGAAGTAGTCTACAGATTAGGTATTTTTAAGATTCTATATGCACATTAACATGAAGTGAGGTTCTTGGGTATCCTTTTTATTAGTCAGACAACATAGTAAACTTTCTGAAGTGGTGTTGTAAATTTCATGAATGGTCCAAAGTGTATGAACTGAATGTTGCAGCCTATTTACAGTGCTCTCCTTTACTGTAACTGCTCAAAATGGAGTAGTTGTTCCAGTAAGCAATGTGGCTGTTTCTAATGCTCCCCGTAAGCTTTTCTGCATGAAAAAGTCAGGCTAGGTGAAAAGTTTGGTTTGCTTTGAGGTGCAGTTCAATGCACTTATGATTTCTAAGGTGTGTTCCTAGTGAAACTGGTACCAGGTCAGAAAATTATGAGTATGCCATTTTAATATGTTAGTTTCTATGTAACATTCAGTCGTCACTGTTTTATTTTCATTGCCACTGCATGCAGTAATGTACTTTTTTCTTTCTCTTTTTTTTGTAAACCCAGCAAGTTGGAATTGATCAGGGTGACATTCCAGATCTTACTCAGGTCAGTGTACGTATATTGATTACCCTAATTATTCTTTGCATTTTGAAAGGTTGGTGTGTATCACAGTAATCATTTGTCTCAAGGATGTATTCTCTTCTATATATTTATATATGGGAGATACGTATGGTGACTTTTTTCCATGGATTAAATGTACTCAGTACTTGCAATTTGCAGCTTTTATAAGATGATTTTTTTTTAATTGTTTGAAGTAATAAAACTCACAGAAAATATTTTTCAAGAACTTCTGGTGTTTATCACAGAGGATTCACTGGCATGTAAACCACAAGCATCTTGCCATGCCTTGAGGAAAACCTTCTATTTCACTGTAATTTAATGTCTTCCGACACACTTAAACATTACAGTTAGCTAGTTCAGTCAAGAATTTTTTTCTTTCCCCTGGGGTCTGAATAGATTTGATGTTTCTATATAAGCACTTACTGCTGGCTTTGATATTACAGAGTAGCATGAGGGACATGTGCAATACAGGTTTTGCGCTGGAACTTTAGTCTAAAAACTGGAATGCATGGGAACACCTTCTAGTGATGATAAATTGAGGGGCAGAAAGGTGAGAAAGGTGATTTTACCTGGTGAACAGAAAACAGTGATAGTCCAGAGAAGTGCACAAAGTTACTCTTTGCAAGTTCATTCGGTTCATAGGCATGATGTATTTCTAACTTAGGACCAACCCAATGGGACAGAAGTATTTGATGTTCTTTCTGTAGCGCAGAGTAACCAGATGGGTAAAATAAATGGCAATCTGTCAGGAGACTTGGGCAATAAACTGGGGTGTCTTAGTAGACGTCTAGAGTACTCAAGCTGTTTACGTGGAGTCAGTGTGAAACAGTTAAAATCTAATGTGTAAACTTTGAACAGTCACGTCTGATCCTACACTGCCTTCATGAAATTAAATTTGATGAGTTAATCATGTAAAAATATATCTACTGTGAAAAACTTGCCTAAACATCGATGTCTTAATATGAAAATTGAATCTAAACCACAAAGTTCCATTGTCAGTGTTGTTCATTACTGCCTACAGTATGATTTCCATCTGAAATCATGTATGTTTCAAAGTACAAATATCTGCTACTTGCTCCTAGCAATTAATATTAGTCCCTTTAAGAACTTTTAGGCCTTTGTGATAGGAAAGAAATATGACTGTAACCAGCAGGTAATGAGTGAAAACAGGAGTTTGATGTTTTCTATTGCTCTTTGATCTTAGCATCTTACTCTGTCTTTTGATTAGTACTGCAGTATTCAGCTGGGCTGTATTATGCTAATCAAATTATACTCAAGTCTGAAGTTATTCTTCACTGAGTTTGTGTGCACTTGTCCAGTTAATTGGGTCATTATAAGGCTCTTCAAAGTGGGGTTGTTTTATTTACTGAGAATAGAGGATTTAACTTCATTTTGCTGCTTTTTATATCTGAAACTTTCAGTGAGCAAACCCCTTTTTATTTACTGTTCTCATGGTATTTTTTCTAGTAGCTCAGCTATTTTGTCTGAAGTGCACTTAGATGTGAAAGGCGAGTCTGAACTGTATGGATGTCAGCATCCTGTGTATTTTAGCACTTTCAGTGCCACTGTTAAGCATTCCACTTCTGTAGTCGATTTCATGGCATTTAATAAGAGTTGAATAATTGTACATCAATTTAGTGCCACATTAAAAGAATTAATTAAAAAAAACTTCTTAATACTAGGCTTTCACAAAAATTTTAATTTTCAGTGTGCTTGTGTTTCTGAAATAAGTTCTGACAGGATCATGTCTTTTTGTTTCTATTCTGGTCTACCATATTTAATTTTTTTGCCAAATACTTTGTTCACGTTTCTGGTGTATGTTCTGTTCTGGGATATGCGTATTTCAGAGTTTCCTTAAGCTGTTCCTGACAACAATGGTTTTATCTCTTTAGAGGTTTAGTATTACTGTTGCTCTATAAGCGTTTTTCTTCCTTGATTCTAATGTTTACACTACTGCCACTTTTGGCAGTTTCTCTAAAGAAAATATTTTCCTCTTTAGGTGCCTCGTTTCACAATCACGTTGCTTGCTTTCTGTTTATAGCTGTTACAATATTTCATGAATGCAAGTGGGTCACTTTTCTCTCTGTGGATGTTAGTCTGTCAGATGTCTTTGGGTGGTGGGAGGGAGGCTGAGTCATAAAATACAGCCTTTTTCAAGTCATCGTGTCCGTATTAGCCCAGGCACCTATTCTGATGTAAAACTGAGATCTGTTCACTCAAAATTTCATCTCTGATGTTTTGTTGTATGTCTGCAGCAATAGTAAAGTTCAGAGAAGTTACTAGTTTGTTGGTTTTAGGTTTTATGATTGAGGGCTGGTTTTTTTGGGTTTTTTTTAGGGAGTTTTAGAAACTAAGTATAGGATATGCTTTTCCATGTAGATAAGTTTTAGAGTGGCCTTGGGAAAAAACATGAAGACCTAGAAAGAACTCTCTGGAGTTTAGTCCTCTGTTATCAAGGTTATCTATCTGTCTGTGTCATGCAATGCCTTTTGCAAACTATTGTCCCTCCTGAAAGGTAAAAGTATGAGGGTTTGGCGGGGTTTTTTGTCGCTGATACCTTCCCAAAAGGTATTTCAAGCTATGGAGTTTAGCTGTCTATTTTGAATGCCGAATTTATTCATGACCAGTTGTTGAGGTAACTACACTGTCCTAGCTTAGCTAGCTCTATTTATAGAAAGAAATATCAACTTGGGCCTTAACTTTAAGCCAAGCAGTTTTATAGGATTATTCTAATTGCTTTTCTTTGCACCTCTTGTAGCTTGAACTGGCCTTCATTGAATGTGGGAATTTAGAATTGTGCTCAGTATTTCAGATAGGAACTTGCCAAAGCCTTGTGTGATTTAATATTTTTCCTCTTTCCAGGAAATACTTTGGTCTAGCTTTTGGTACAGAAGGGCTAGCTAGGGCAAGCTTGTTTTTTCTTCCAAACAATGCCTATCATATCTGTTCTACCTATGGAAAGTTGGCAAGTAGTAAGAGAGGCTTAATGTCTCTGAAACCCTGCTAGATGAGGACGACTGAGCTGGCAAGTAGATTAAAACTTTAGAGGTCTATTCCCTTCATCAGAATCTGCAGTAGGATTTATTTCATTTGTTTCATGGAGTATGGACCATGTAGTTAAAAGCCAAGAGAGCAAAGTGACTAGAATAGCAAGGCAATGAACTCTTCCAGAAGTGCCAGCCTAATAATTTTGCTTGCTGGAGGTGGTTTTGTAGAGTGATTTGGAGAAATCTTACTTCCTACTAAGACTGTGTAATCAAGATGAGTTTAAATTTATTCTGAGTTTTGAAGCTGTTTCCTTTGGTATAAAGAAGTGTTTCTGTAGTGGATACAAGTGCATGACAGAAAGAAGGCAGGTTATGATTGGCACTTTGTTCTTGTTTTCTGTAGGAACCAAAGCAGCTCATGCCTTAGTCTGTATCTTTTAAACTTGCTCTTTTCTTTTACGTATCAGTTAAAATCTTTGTCTCGAGTACTGATTAATGTCATGGCTGTGCTCTCAAACATCTTGGTAAACTTAGGAGTATTGGTCACCTAAACCTCATTTAGGTGTCTGAAGTCTTAGCTGAGGTGTCTAGTGCCTGTCTTCCTGCTGGATTTAAGTGGCGAGAAGCCACTTTTTTTTTTTTTTAATCTTCATTGGTTCAAAAAACAGCTTCGTGTTTAAAAACTTCTCATGGGTAACACTTTTCCTGGGGAGTGGGATCCACCAAAATCCAACTTTATTTGAAGCGATGTTGCTAGTTTCTAATGTTTTAGGCTACCAAAGGCTTTGGAGTAATTGAGTTAGTTTATTGTGTAGTCATATGTTGAATACCTACTTGGTCTGCAATAGTATTGTTGGCATCATGTTGAATTTGATAGCTTGTTTTATCAAACCTGATGTTCTGCTGTGGTCAAGTGTTTCTAATGCAAGCCTTTGTAAATATTTGAATGGAAAGTGATTGTTTTTTTTGTTGTTATGGGGGAATGAGGATCAAAAATGCCAAGGCTTCATTTTGGTACTTCTGCAAGTTTAAGGGAGCACTGTTTAATCAGCTGTGATTACTAGATTAATCGTAACATAGCTAATACTGTGGCCAAAACCAAGAATGCAACTTGCGTACACAGAAGCAGACTTACTCTAGGGGAATCCTTGCTTCGTGTCTCTGTGGTGCCACTCCTTTTCAAGAACCACAACTGGGTAGAGAGCATTCAGGTGTGCAGAATGGCAGCAAAACCCAAAGGCATGATTATTTGTTGATGTGTGGGGCTTTGTTTGTTTTCAGTGGATGAGAAAACTAATCTGTGTAGTAAACAATGCTGTGTTGTCTAGAAGTGGTGTTTTATAAGTACTTTAACTTTAGGCACCTAGCAGTTTGCTTGAAGCACTGGAACAGCATTTGGCTTCTGTGGAGGGAAAGAAAACAAAAGAAGTCTCTGCTGCCAGCAGGTGAGCACCCAATGAATTGCAGTGATGCATATACTTGGGATTTGTCATCTTCATACTAAGAATTTTCAGGATTCAGTCATTTGGGGTTCTTCTTGAATTTTACTCACTTCCAAATATATTTTCCTAGGAGTATAAAAGAAGCATCTAGTGAGTAGTAGTCTGATAGCTTAGTCACATTTGAAATCTAGGTATGTCTGCCTGTGTCTCTGCTGGACTTCTTATTATGCTGTAATAAACCACTGAGCTGAGACCTTGTATATTATTCTTTTTAGCTTTTACTTGTTTGAAGTCCTTTGGCTTATAAGCCTTCTAAGGTATTTGGGGTTTGAGGCTCTTTTTACCCAAGCTTGAACAATATTTATCTTTATTGTCAATTATGTACCTCTCAGACCATGAATTTGTCTTCACCTACTTAAAAATTCTTTGGTCCCTTCTCAGAACAGCCAAATTAGCTTAGATGCTTTGTGCTGACACGAATTGCGTTGTTCTTTCTGTCAAGTACAGTAGCAATATGTATGAACGGTATTTCTGACTGAAGAGAGAGAGATCTCTTGGCATAGGTATTCTCCCACAGAAACTTGGTAAATTTTGATAAATGTATCGGTGTAAGTTACGTTCCTGAGTTGCTGTTTTGCTCCTCAGATTTTTGGGGGTTTTTTTGCAAGTATCTGAGGAATCATAACAGTGTTCTGCTAAACAGTATACTATATAGGGAATAACTTCTGTGCTTTGTTTACTGTTACATGTATAACATGTACAAACAAGCTTTCTGTGCCTCTGCCACTTGAATGGAATAGATTTCCAGTCCAGTCTATATGACCTTAAAGAAAAAAAACTGGTATGTTCTGTACTTTGCAGTTCCTGCCCACTGAAATGTGAGGGAGTAATCCTGTGTACTCATGCTGCTTTTTCACCAAACTCCCTCATTAATGGGGTGTCTGCTTTTCTGTACCAGACAGTAAGGGGAAAAAGACTGGAGTGGAGGGGGAATGACACTCAGCTAGATGCACGTGATGATTAAACTGTAAGTGATGTATATCTGACTGTTTTTTCTTAATAAAACTTTGTTTAATTATTTTTGGTTTTAGAGCTAGTGCCCTATCCAGTGCTGTTTCCACACTTGCCAATACAGGCATGTCATTTAGCAGGATGGATGAGAAAGAAAAGCAGCAGGCATTGGAGGAGGAACAAGCTAGACTGCAGGCACTTAAGGTACTATAGTTTTTATAAATTTGTATTCTGAGATTATTTATTTTTTTTAACTGGATACAGGTGAAAATCAGAGTTGGTTTAAAATAGTGTATGATAGGGGAGCTCTCCTCTTAGGAGAGGCCAAGGCATAATTCTGTAGGATGCAGGTGTGATGGCTGCCTAATACATGGTGACCCTTCTACCAGGATTTGAATAGCGGACACCTGATATAAATTATTTGTATTCTTCCTTACAAGAGATTGTTATTTATCTCAAAGATTTGTAAAATGAGTATACAGCAGTTCTAGGTTACACCTCGGCAGCTGAATATACTGCATTGCTATTGTAAGAATGATTATTGGTAGGAGGGAATTATTTTTTCCCGTGATATATGGAATATGGTTTTAGCGTGATTCTTCAGTCATGTTGCTCATAATAAGAATACATGCTATAGTTCTGTCCATGTTTAACTGCTCTTGTTTGGACAACTGTTTGCAATCATATGTATTTAGGTATAATTTATGGACTTTCAGTAATAATACATTTGAAAGAAAATCAATATGTTCTCTCTTGGTTCCTTAACATGCTTTTTTGCCAATTGGTACTTGTTGAGTAGTCCTGTTAGTAACATCCCTGTCTTAAGGCCTCAATCCTGGTCCCTCAGGTCCTTTTAACATTTTTATAACATTGTTTCCTGAGAACATACACAGTATAAAATCTCAAACAAGGCAAGATGGTTCTCTTGCTGAAAGCTAGATATGTCGTGCCCCACTTGCATGTGCCTGGGACAGTTGGGAATTTTTCTTGTGTTGCTTTAACATCTCTAGACACACCTAAACGATGAAGCAACTCTGCTCCTGTCACCTGGAGGCCACCTTATGAGAGCCTTAAAACTATTTGGAGTGTGAAAGTAAACTTTGGTAATGCAGAGTTGAGTTTCATCTCTGGAGTTAGAGAGGTCTAGTGGAGATTCTCCACTTTCCTTACACTTGGTGTAAGGCATATTTTTCAAATCAGTGTGAAGCAAGTTTTTTTTGCTATTAGACTACAGTTTCAGTGTGCTTTGCCTGCTGCTGAACAGCTTCACTTGAATCTCAAAGTGTTGTGGTGGGGTTGTTTTGTTTATTTTCAGGAGTTGCATCAGATGTCTCCTCTCTTCACTGTCCCATTTCTATTGTAATAGGACTTGTAGCTGCTGTAACTGAGTATTTAAATAGGTTGACAGAAATTTTTATTTAGGGGGCTGGGAAGCTAGCAAGCTCACTCAACATTTTACTTGAGGAATGTGAGCAGTATGAAACATACGCCTGTGTTTTGACCTGTGCTGTATGAATGGAGAGGACAGATCTAGAAGTAACGAGGGATGTAAACCTAAAATTGACAATGTAAACTAGATTTTTATTTTGCTAGTTTAAGATAAACACCACATGGATATTACTAGGATGCGCATTGTCAGTCTGACTTCTGAACGTCTAAATTGAGCTGTGAAGAGATCCTAACGGTAGAGGGAGATGCGTCTTCCTGAACAAAGGTCCACTGACCTGTACTCTTATCTCTAACTGCAATCATCTTTCTGTTTTCAAGACTTTACAGACGAATAACTCTTTTATTTATTAAGACCATAATTAAAATTTCTTCTTGGAAAAGCTCTTCAGGACTGAAGGGTTAATAAACTAATAGAACTAAAATGCAAACTGTATATCTCATCTTTCAGGAGCAGCGATTACGAGAAATTTCTGTAGTGTCAAATTCCACTTCCACATCAGCATCCCCAAGCACCTTATCAGGAAAAAGTGTGAATACCACTGTAGCTGTTGATCTTTTTGCAGTACCAGCACCCACAACAAATAGGTGAGAAATACTTTGCTTTCTGAAGCAAGCAGAAATTACTGCATTGGCTTGTAGCTCCACAATCAACTGCAAAGCACTGATCCTAGTTACTTCTCAGTACTTTCCAAGAATAAAGTTGATGCTTTTTGCTGATGTTTTCCTGGTGTATTCACAGGAGTTTTAGTATCAGTCAGTAAGCAGTGCTTAATTACTAGTTTTGTTTTGTACAAACAGTGAGATTGGTATGAGTGCTCGTATGACACAAGAATACCATGCCTATTACATGTCTTCGTATTTCTCTCTCTTTTCTTATTCAGCATGCCCAACCTTTCTAGTGATCTTTTTGATCTTCAGCCTGCATTTGTTCCAACTGTGCAGAGTACTCCAGCTATATCAACATCAGCAAGCAGTGCTTGGGGAGGTGAGCTGATACGATGGTTTGATTGTCTAAATGACCAGTGAATTCTTGGAATACCAGAATAAAATACAGATTTAGACTTAATTGAATCTACATCTTAAACCTTAGCTACTTTGCATCCAAACATTTCTATCCTTGATAGAATACGAAGTCATCTGAAAACTCTGGCAAACTGTTACAGAAAAGTTACTACTTTTTTTTTTTTTTTTAAACTTGGCAGTAGTATCAATGTGTAGTAGATAAATGAAGGAGCTATTCAATAAAGGGCACAGGTAGAAGAAATGTAACTAAAAATCAAAGTTATAAAATGCTGGGAAATATAAACTAAGCAGATAGTACTGAAAAGATGCTGGACTAGTATTTCCATTCCATTAAGTGATATTTAATATACTTTTCATTTAAAAGGTGTTGGTGACTTCAAAGTTCTTAAAACAAAGCTGTCGTTCCCAGTTTCTCAGGCACAGCATTCTCTCTGTCCTCACTCATCCCTCCAAAGAATAATCAGAATAGATATTAAAGAAATGTCTTAAATGCTGAAATAAGGCAGTGTTAACACCAGTGTAAGTGTTGGTGTTTTAATAGATGAAATTGATACCCTTATGTGCTGTTTGAAAGGTAGATTCTTGAAGGCCAAAATGTAGTATCTAACTTTTTTGATTGGTAAATGTTCTGTCATTCTCCCCTTCCCCCCCGCCCCCACCAATGGCAATACTAGAATTATTTTCCCTAAATAGAGAGCTGCTAGGATTTTTATCTGAAACTAAGAATTTGTATCTTTAATGGACTGATCACTAGGTGGAATATTTACAGTTTGACTTTGTCTAGAGATTCTCATAGTCAATCATTTCAGTCTGTTTTTCTTTTCCATTATTTGTACTCTATTCTTTCCTTCACTTCTGCATCTGAAAGGTCCTTTCTCGTCCTCAAATGGTTGTGTTGGTTCTCCACCTCATCTGGACATCTTTGACATGAAGCCAGTTGAAGAAGCTGTAAAATCTACCACCCCTTTCATCAATTCTACTTTTTCCTCCAAACAAACGGTGGAACTGTTTAGTGGTAAAAACCCAAACAAACAAACCCCATGTAATTTCTTTGCAACTGGAGCTAATCATGCTAATAAACTGGGCCATGTAATCTTTTTGTGGTTTGGACCAATCTTCACTTTTTATTAACAAATCGAAATGGTGCATTAATTCCAGATGTAGTAAATTATGTTTCCTTAAAGTTTTATTTCTACAGTTGAAATAACTCATTATTCAGCTAGCCCAACCTAGACATCCTAAGACTCACAATGTTGTTGGAATTTTTGCTGATTTCTTTCAATCTGCAACCTCCTTTCTCTTTTAGAGAATGCAGGAGTTACTTGAGCTTTTCAAACTTGTTAAATAAAAATATCCTTTCTAAGTACAAAAAATTCCTGATTTTAAACTGCAGACTTAATTTTTTGGGTCCCCTCCTCCTTACCTCTTTTAAACTGATCTTATTTTCTTCTCTTTTTATGAAGATGACTTTAGTGGTCATAAACCTACATATGCTTCTGTGTATCATCCTCTGACTGTTGATGGTAATTTGATTTTTCTTTTTTTTTTTAACTTTCTGGTTTCACTGTAATGAGTGGCATTGCTCCATGGGTGTATTTGATTAAACTTTTTTTTTTCATAGGTTTTCCTCTTCATTCAGCTCCTCCAAGTACCACATCTTCAACAATTAATGTGGACTTCGATGCTGTTTTTGGAGGAAAATCTACAGCACCAGAGTACAGGACTACAAGTGGTAAAAACTAGTTTATGAGTAATTTACACCCTACAGGCAACGGTTACTTAACAATTTAGCGTAATTGCTATTGTCGTTCAAAATTTATAGCTTAATACACTTGCAAGCTGATTATAGGGCTGATAAGATAACAGCCAGTTCAATTGTAGTTATTTACTTTAAAATTAGCTTTGACTAATCTCATATACTGTGTAATAACGGTTTCCTGTCTTTCTGGGGAATGAACTTTGCGCGTGGCCCACTGGATATCTCTTAACGGGTAAGCTCATGTTTAATCTGTTTTCACTGCTTATGACTTTGATGTTTTCTCTTGATACATGATAATGAGCTCCCCCTAACTTCATTGAGAGGTGGTGTACTTAGAGAAATGCAAAACAACTGTATGTGTTGCTTGAAGAATAGCCGAGTTACGATCTTTCTCTTGGTTGGTGCTATTTTGCTCTATATTCAAAGTCCTTATGAACATATAGCAAAGGAACTCTTGGGTACATGCAGGATACTAGCAGTATGATGAAATTATTGCTATATTGTGTTATAAAAACACTTTGAAACTGTCTTTAAGAACCTTCTTTTTTCTTCAGTTTTAGGGGAGATTCTCTTAATTTAAAAATAGTGTCAGTTACTACTAGATTAGTAGCTACAATATAGTATTCCATAAAAAAATAGGAGGTTAAACTGTGCTGCCATCTTAAGCCTTGAACACTTCCAATGTATATGTTTAACCTCCACATATAAGCTTAGTGTTCCATAAAGAATATACCTGCCTGGCTTATGAATGTCTTTTATTAAATGCAATGTAACTGTTTTGTTAACAGTTGCTTTTATGTTTGTTTTTTTCTTTAGCTTTTAACTTTCTAGATGATGTACTGCAACCCACAGTACCACCACAAAGTCAAAGAGCCACTTTAGCCAACCAGCAGAGCGGAAAAATTTTGGCAAATGACCTTGATTCTTCACTTGCTAATCTAGTGGGAAGTAAGTGTGAAGCTTTTAAATTTAACTTTCCCACTGAAAATAAAACAAGCTTTTTTTCACCCCTCAAAATTAAAAAATACTTAGGGATTTGTCTGTTTCTCCCCCCCCTCCAGATCTTGGCTTTGGAGGAACTCCATCCAAAAAGTAAGTGCATATATGTACTTGTAATATTCTCACATGACTGTTTGTTACTCTCTGGCACAGTTTATCAGCACTAACATGGCATGACTTTCAACTCTTGAAAGTGGTCTGGTACCAAGAGCAGCACTGAAACCGTGAGTTTGTGATCAGTCACCATAACACGGTCAGTGTTAACATTGGAAGTAATTCATTTTTAGTTAGTTTTGCAATTTCTGTATTTTTATTTAACGATTTTTATGAAGCACCATAAAAGTTCTTGCAGTTACATAAAACTCCAGTTAATCATTATGCTGTACAGTGTTAACACAAAACAGAACCCCCAGACTTCATACTTACTTGAACAGAAATACATAAGTAGTTACTGAAATCCTGAGTGTTTCTTCCACCCATAGATTTCAGCTGTATGCATGTATTAAGGCATGTTTTGGTTTTCCATCATGATGTTGTTACTCTAGCTGTTGACCCTCTGTGAAAACTAATAGCACAGTTTCCTTTTAGGTCAGATATGCAGTGGACCCAGCCTACAGAGAAAAAACTTACTGGTGGAACAAACTGGCAAGCAAAAACAAGCACATCGACCACATGGAACCCTACTCCCTTACCCGCTATTCCACATATGGTAATTTTTGTACTATTGAATTCATGCTTCATTCTAGCAAATGCTACTTCCCTGCTTGAATTAAGTCAAAAAGAATAGCAAAGGCTGTTTGGGACAAGACTGGGGGCAGGGGAGAGTGGTTGTAGGAATGTTTCTCAAACAGAATGAGGCAGAGACTTTAGTATGCTTTATTTCCTCTCACTGTAAAACTTGTCCATTAAAAACATAAATAATGAACCTTTCACTTGAGATATATCTCAGTTCATAAAGTTATTTTTAATTGAAACAAATGACCCCAAACCAGAAAATTTCTGATGTGCATGTTTGAGATGCTCCCACACAGCCCCCCCTGCTCCTTTCTTTCTCTCTCCTCTCTCTCTCACCCCCCGCCCCTTAAAGAATCCTAAGAATGTGTTTCAAGGACAAAATTGCTGTTCCTTCCAGTTTTCGCTCCTTTTCCGGTTTTATCACATGAAACACTGCTGCAACCCCTGGAAGGCACCTTAATTATCAGGTCAACCAGTGCTTTGGACTTTTGATAATGCTCAACAGCAACTTCATATTTTTAACACAGCACAAAATACGAAGTAGAAGTTTTAGTTATTGAAGAATTTTCATGTCTTGGAGGGATATTTGTAGGCAACTTTTTCAAGTGTTTTCTATTCATATATATTATACAAATCACTTGTGAAATATAGCTGCCTTAGAGGGAAACAGAATATTCCTCTTGGTTATATGTACAACTAAAGTAGTTGCCACATTTGCTATGAATTTTGGACTGCTGTCTGGCTTATTTTCCAATAAGAATAGCTTTGCCTGTAATGCTCATTTTCCTCATCTTGCGTAAGTGTTCTCATTCAAAATTATCAAAGTTGAATAGAATATTAAATCCACTGTTGGACTCAAAAATTAAACTCAAAAATTCAGATGAGAGGATGTCTCAGTTGTATAGCACTTTATGTGAGACTTCTAAGACCATAAAAATCTTTTTATCCCCTCTGGTGCTCTAGAATGGGTTGTTAGAGTGCTGATGCATTCTTATTTTTGAAAGATAGAGGGCACCTTAGCACACACTGATCACTGTGGATTTGGGTTTTGTGTGGGTTTTATTTCATGTCTTCATGTTTAATACTTTCTGGTCTAAGCATTTGAGTGCATTATGCCTGGTGTCTGCTCACTCATTTGCTTGGAATTCTGACAATTAATGATGCAAAGAACTAGCTCGGCTATGAGCATCTTTAAAATCAGTGCCCCAGTATTGGAAAGGTCTAACTGTCCTGGCTTCGTCTGTGGCATTCAGAGTACTAACCCTCCAATTCATGTATAGTCTGCATACCCTTTCATAGGGAAGTGTTTTAACTAACATTAGATTTTTAATATAATTAGCAGTACTTAACAATGCATGGCAATATGAAGTGCATGCATCACTGTGCCTGTGAACATAACCCGATGTAAGGTATTACCAGCTTAAGATGCTGCTCTTTTTTATTTTTTCATATTGTGATATGTTGCAGACATCAGAAATGAGTATGTGAGCAACATTTACCTGATTAAACATCTCTTGCTATTTGTTTCTTAAGCTGAATGGTCACTGGCTTCCTTGTTTGTTTCTTTTCTATGCCCTTCTCACACATAATGGGAGGAAGAAGGAATATTGCATGCCATACCCTCTGAAAGCTTCTCACACAAATGTTTGTGCAAGCAATATACTCAAATCTGACTAGATTTAGTAATATTTCTGGTTTTGCTCTAAGTCTTCCTAGTGATAGGTTTCTAGGCAGGGAGCCTATTCAAGTGAACAAGGATAGTTACTGTCCTTGCACCGTTTTCCTCCTGCTTTAATTGTTTTAATGAGTAGAGCATAGTTCAGACAGTTACGGTACTGGGCTTGAATCCATCCCTTGGTTAGAATTGCCAGTTCAAATACCTCTTAAATAATTTTCTGTCCTTACTCCTTTTGCTGTGCCAGAATGGAGTACACTATCCTGGATATGTAAGTCAATTTCTTGTAAATACATTGGTTATTTTAAGTGATGAAAAATATGTATTTTTCACAGTTTTTTTTATATATTGCTAGTATGCATGAGCTTATCTAAAACATATTAAAATTTTCTTGAAGGTACCTGCTCCTATCACGTACCCAGTGACCACACCTCAAGTGCCTGTATTTGGAATGGTAAGAAATGTGATTGCCTTGTGTTCCTGAAAAACCCAATTTCCTCCAGTGAGTTTCATGGCGGGCGTTGTTATGCTCAAATAATCCTGCAACGTATATATATTGTTTCGTAAGGTCATTTGTGTGTGAAGTCCGATAGCTCTTTCACACTGTGCATTGGAAAAGATTACTCTAAGTTTTATACAGCAAGTTTTTTAAAAGTTCTGACTTTACTACGTGTATGTCTACATGCTTATTTTCTACTATACTTACAATGTGAAAAGATGTATCTTCTAGAATAAGTTTGAATCTTACATACCTGTTTTGTGGGGTTTTTGTTTTAATAACAGGTACCTCCTCAGATTGGAGCTGCTCCTTTGATGGCACCCCAGTCAATGATGTATACGCAGCCTGGGCTAAGGCCGACAAATCCTTTTGCACCTGTTTCTGAAACTCAGGTGAACTGTTATCTTTCATCTTGAGATCACATTGAAACTTTAGTCTTGGTAAAATCAACCAAATGTTTCATGAAGGGCTACTTCTGTGTTTCTGAATTTGAAGGCGAAGGGTTCCTCAGTCAAGGGCAACAGCTTTGGCTGGCGAGGAAGCAAATTCAGATGGTGAGACAGTGTAAACGTAGGAGGCAAGGAAGAAGGTAAAAAATTACAGATTAGTGGCTAACTCCTTCCTGTGCCAATATTAAGAAAATGGGAGTGGTGAAGATATGTAGACTTTAGACGTCCTATGACATTAGCTGGCTACTTGGTTTAGTCAGGCTGACTAGAGCAGTGGTGAAAGCTTTCTGGAGGATCAGGTGGTGGGGAAGTAGAAAAGGCACAGGCAAGAGATCATTGGAGCTGGAGAAACTGTGTACTCCTGTCATCCAAATATGTTGGTCTTAATGTTCTTTGGGGATTTTTAAAGTGCCAAAACCTGTAGTCCTAACTTGCAAGTAATGAGGCAGTCGAATAGATTCCTAATTTTAAAACGCTGAGAAACCATGTATTAATAAGTGCATTAATATGTAATCTCTACTTCACAGATACAGTTTATGTAGAGCCGCCAAAGCAGCAAGATGTGAGAGCAACCAAATACTGGTAAAAAAAAAAAAAAAAGACTGAATTTCAATCTTTCCATGATGTATTCCTGAACAGGGCAACCATTTCTTCCCTGTATAATATGATATTATTTTGAATCGCAGTGCTTTAGAGATTCTTGTTTATAACAGTCACTGCAGTGTGAAGTCATGTTTGATCACTGATTTTTAAACTGCTCAGCAGAAAACTCTATTTTATTGTGGTTGACTTGGAAGGTGCCAGCTGGATTATCATCTTGAAAGCTGAGAAGAGGGATTACATGATGGCTCTACAACCTTATTCATCAATGGATTACCTTAGGAAGTTAACTGAAGATTTCAGAGCTATTTATTTTCTCCATAAATTCTGTGGCTGTTGTAACCAAGACACAACACAAATGAAGTTGAGCAATAAAATTTTTGTGCTCTAATAAATACTCTGATAGAGCAATGCTTGCATTATCATAAGGCCAATATTGTGTGAAATCAGACAGCTTTTTCACATTAGAATAGCTTATAGTAATTTGCAAACTTTATAATGTGAGTTTGAAATGCTGTGAATCAACAAGATATATACATATTACATTATATATAGTAAAAATAATAAATTGCTCCATTGGTATGTCAGTGTTATGTGGCAAGTTGAAAGAGCCAGGCTCTGAAAGTCTGTGATGGAGTAGGGGAAACAAGTGTGTTACAGAGGAGCATGTGCAGTCTCCAACAGGTGAGAGCAGCTGCGCTTCCATCGAGTATCTTCTCTGCAGATAGCGTTTTTCATAGCTCAAGGCGGAGTAGCTTTGGGAGCCAGTGAATGTAGGTATCCCCGATAGCAGCAAATGGGAGCAATTTAAAATCTTGTTGCTAACTGCAGACGAGGCAAGAGAGCCAGTTTTGTTTTTTTAAAAAGTCCATTAGGTCAAAAGAAGCAAACCTTGCAATAGTGCTGACACTTGTGAACTGGCAACTATATTGAAATTATCCAGCTGTAGAGAATAGCTTGTGCTGCTTTTCTGAAATAAGAACCTAGTTGTAAACCATATAAAAGTAATTATTTTTAAATGTGTAAATATGTGCAAATTTTTAGATAATCTTTTCTTTAATGCTGCAGTAATCTTTTTCTTCTGTAGTAATTTCAAGGTAAAAATGCTGTGTTTAAACTCTTTTTAAGAGGAGAATCTTTTAAATCAATTAATTTATGAAGTATGCTAATCATGATAGGTCAGATGCGTACAGACTTCTGGCACGTCTTTTGTACTTAATCTTTCTCCAAAACTGAAATTGGCTATGAAAATGCCTTATCTTGTATTTTTCAATGACTGATAAAAATTGATAGCATTATTAAAAAAAAAGTTGTTAATAACAAGTAAATGGAATTGGGAGCAACCTTTCTTTCAGAAGTTTTGTGGCAGAATACAATGGAAATCTCTCCTGTAAAATGACTTCTAATGATTAATATTAAAGCTGGGTTTTCAAAAAATGAATAGTTTTCTATTGTTAGGATAAATAGACCTCCATAGTAGCATGTCTGTTATCTTTTGGGGAGTCTATAATTGCAGAAATGCCTCTGACTCTCACTATAAATCCCAATAGGCCTGAGAATCTTGTCAAACTGTCCTGTAGAGAACTTCTAAAATACAGCACTTTCCTCATAGTTAGAACAAGCCTTCTCTTTTTCGAAATGTTTAATTCTGTCCAAAGAGTGCAAAAATAGTATTTCTTAACTCTATGGGAATATATTTGCCAAGTGAAACAACACAAAAGCAGGAAAATAAAAAAACCCCGCTCCCTGACCCTTGGACTCTGTAACCACTAACTTCCTGGGAAATGCAACCTTGCAGAAATGTAAAACTCGGGGTTTCTCAATATGTACTGATTTTAAAAGAATTTGGACTGGTATATAGCAATTTAATGTTCAAGTTTGAATTACAAAGGGCTTCAAGCTTTAATCCACTTTTATTGGGTTGAACAATTGTACAATTTTAAGCCAATGAGTTCTTCAGTGCCTATAGTTACCCTTCACGTGACGAGGGAATAGATGCCATTTAGAATGCGTCATTGTGTTGAGGGGACTGTTTATTTAAGAAATGGTGAATTCCATTGATATTTTTATTCAGCATTGAAAAGTCTTCAGTTCAAATTAGACCAGTACACAAATGGCTGGGCATTAATGACCGAGCTAAGAGCGCTACAAGCAGGCAGTTTCTAGCACTGTAAGCTGTTAGGTCTCTTTCTCATACTGAGTTGTATAAGTAACAATCAGTTATTTTAATAAAATATGCAAATAAATGCCTGGCAAGCAGTATATATTTGTTATAACTTCATTGCAGAGCATTCTGAATATCTGGAATGTACTTCACTCAGAAATTGATCTAGTACTAGGTATAGTTTGCACTACTTCTGATTTGCTCTGGATTTTTTTTTAATGATTCTTTGGTATGCTTTCTTGTAGCAAAGCTGTCTGATACCAGTCTATTTAGTATTAAAAAAGGAGAAACAGCCACAAAGTACACTCTAAAAACTTTATAAGCTACCTTCTTTTTAGTCTCATTTGGAATGTTTGATACATTAAAACACGACTTTCAGATTTATCCTTACGAAGAAAAGATTGCTTTACACACTTCTCTGCACAACAGCGCACAGGACTGCTTTTTGCCAGCCTCTCCCTTATGCGCATATTGGAACGCATAAAATGGCGGAGTATTGTGTTTAAATAACATGGTTTATACATTAGAAGTAAAACCCAAGGACTCAGGATGCTGTCAAGGCTTTTATGGCTCAGAACTTGTTCTCCAAAAAACCCCACTTTGAAGACAAAGGTTGTTCTTGAGGGTAACTAACAGCCCGCGAGGGCTGCGAATAGTAGTTGTGACGAGTAAAACACTGAAGAGAGATGTATATAAATGTGACTTTCCCTTTTGTTTCCTTCCAACGCGTTTGATCAGAATCCTGTTCTGAATGCTTCAGAAAGCAGATAAGATGTCACTCCATGTTTGTCTGACCAAGGAGGAAGACTCGAAGTATGCTGTGTGCTATGCATTGTTGTACTTCAGTGGGTCATTCAAGCCTAACTGTCGGGACTGTGCTGCTACAGGGAGGCTGTCCGTCATGGACGTACCATAAGAGAACTTCTGGGGGAATTTGGAAGGGTTGGTTGTGGTAGGCCTGTTGGACTTGAAAGCGTACCTCTTTTTAAATAACTGGGGGTTTCTAATGTTCTCAAGATATAGTTTGACTTTGTCTCCAAGAAGTTACTGAATTGATTTTTTTTTTTTAATTTTGGACACATGTACTAGAGGATTCTCAGTTCTGTGTGCATAGTGGTGGAATACTTGTAGGTAAAAATAACAAATGGACTTTAGTTTAAAAAAACCCACACACCTAAAAACCACCAACAAAAAACCTCCTGACTACAAGATAGAATACAGGGTGTATCCCCATCTGGGTTTTTTGATGTGTGGCAGGGAGGGCAGGGTTACAAGTAGAATAGTACGCACTGTGGATCGGTGCTTAATTTGTACATAAAAAGGAAAACTTTGTTTTGGGTAGTTTGTATTGTAAGGACAACATTTAAAGGCACTGTGTATCAGTCATTTATTTCCATGTAAAAGATTATATTTTTGAGCAATGGAAACTGTACATGTTATCGTTTATACATTGCTGATAGCTAGGAATAGAGAAAACGTGTCGCTATTACTCTGAAGATGTATTTGACTTGTCATTGATATATACATTGCTACTTTACGCAGATTCTCATGATCATTTATTTAAAGAGATTGTAGTAACTGGTGCAGTTACCGCAGGAATTGTAACATCAAATCTTTTGATGTTACATCTCAAATGTGTATTCTTGTGATTACATTTAATCCTCTTACCAAATGTTTGGCTGGAATTTCATCTTGGAGCAATGACACAATAGGTGCTGGAACAGATTTCCCTCACCCCAACCCCACACTTTGCATTATTTATTTAATAGGTCTTGTTTTGTATGTTATGTTTTTCCCCATAACAGGTTTGTGCCTTTTATTGGATATTTATTTAAAAGGAGCTACTATAATTTAGGTTGTTCAGGCTTTTTTTTTTTCCAGATGTATTCTTGTACAGCTGTTCCTTTACATAAGTTCCTTCATTTTATAAGAACACAGAATGTGTGGAGAATATACTAGCCACAAACTGGAAAAAAATTTTGAGGGTTTATGTTCTATGAATTAATAATTTTTTAAAAAGAAGCCTAAGCACAAGACTGGCTGTGTTGATATTTTAATTGTGGAACTTCACAATTTGTTAATACACAAACTGTTTGTTTTTTAAAAACTGCTCATATCCAATTATTTGATGAAACAAGTTTTGGAAAAAAATAAACTTTGGCACATGCAAGGTGTGCGTGTACGTCATCACTCTTCATTGCGTGCTCAGGCTGAAGGCTTCCTGTGACACTGAGAGCAGCAGCTGCGTTGGGGCGCTGCAGTAGTTTATTGCTCTTCTGCCTTTCTGGTCCGTGTGGGCTGACGCCTCACTCGAATGAACCTTTTCCTCCGGGGAGCAGGGTCCCCGGGCTCGGTGGGGGGCA